ATTTATGTAAGAATTCAGCTCATCAGTCTCACACTCTAAGCACAGAAGAGTGAGAAACTGTCAGGTGCTGTTGAGCCTGGGAGAAGGTGTTAACTACAAGTATTTTAATAAGTTTGGCCTTGTGGTCTGGGAAGAATAAGAAGTTAATTAAGTCTTAGTATCTTAAGACATTTTTAACTTCCTTACCAAATTTACCAAAAATTTGCTGCTCAGAGTTTGGAAATGTGAGGAACTTAGAATTAGCATCTTGACAACAGAAAAATACCACAAAGGAAGATACTTTAAGATACTTTAAGATATTTTAAGATGATTACATGAAAACTTAAAAAATTATATAAGAATTACAAAATTAAACAAGCTAGGAAAAAGTTTGAAATAAATGTGAAAAAGAGTTAAAACTCATAAGTAGAAATGAAAAGAGAGAGCAAATACAAATTAATAAAAATATGAAGACCCAGATAGAAAAATAAACAAGGGACATAAATAAACACACAGGACACCAAGGAAGAAATGGCTATGTAAATGTGTCATGCCTTTGATAAACACAGGAATGAAAATTAAAAACTATGAGGTAGAGAAACAAATGTTATTAGATTAGAAAAGATACTAGAATGAGAACATTAAGTGCCGGTGAGAGTGGTGGTAGGTTGTTAGGCCTCTAATGAAAACAGTTTGGCCATAGGTAACAATTTCATATCTTTTGATCTAGTAGAATTCTTTTTTAGGAATCTATCCTGGCAAAGTAACCAGAAATACAGACAAATATATGCACCAAGATGTCTATTTCCAAATTGTTAATAATACCAGGAAATGAGTTCCAAACAATTTTCAGTGATAAGGCACAAATTATTTTATGTTCATAAAGGATTTTATGCATTTAAAACAAATGATACCAAGTTGTATATTCAGAATGATCTCAACTATATTAAAATGTGTATACCAAGCAAAACATGATACCAAGTTGTATATTCAGAATGATCTCAACTATATTAAAATGTGTATGTATTCACACACACACATTAACCCCCAAAAAGATCAAAACGAAAGATGCTAAAATTTTAACAGTGGTTGTAGGTGGTGTCCTTGGACTTTTTTTACTAATCTAATTCTCTACAAGGGGCATGTATTTTATACTAAAGATAATAGACATAACATCATGAGGGAGAGGATATGTAGATTTGTTAACCACTGGCAAATACCAATTAATTTGCTTTTTATTTTCAGAAAAAGAAGTGTGTTTGGAAGTTAAAATGTGGAGGATCTGTCTTTTCTTCTCCTTGTTTGAGCCTGATTCCACATCATTTGTATTTTGCTACACTGGGCGGACTTTTACTGGCTGTAAATCCTGTAAGCATAAAATAATATGTATTGATTTTATCTCCTATCTTTAATATTCTTTTATTTTTGCTTTGAATTCTGAAAGTTTGAGTAGTTTTCAGTTAGATATAGTCCATGTATCACTGAACCAGAATTCATTAAAAGTGATTGACACAAAGTTTAGAAAGATGAGAAAATCTAAGATTCTGTGTATGTTTTTTCTATTTTTTTAATTTTTAGGCAGAATTTGCTTAATCATATTAAGAACTTTGTGTTCATCCTAAAGATAGATTATTTTTTTTCTTCCCTAATCCCCCATATGATGCTGTGAATTGCTTTTTGCCCATGACAGGCTACTGGGAACAGAGTATGGAAACATTCCTGTGGAAAACCACTCTTCTCTTCTCCACAGTGTTGCCTACAGTATATTTGTATTGGCTGTGTAGATGGAAATTTGCTCTGCTTTACTCACTTGGGAGAACAGGTAAAAATTTCTAGTTCTGTTTTACATAACTTTCTCAAAGGCATAGTAGATGGTGAGAACTGAAGTAAAATTTTAAACAGATTATTCAGCTCACTGTGTTGGGAACTGGTTCTGTTTTAAATGTGAAGCCATGGGTTTCTTAATTTTTGAATGGTCGGTATAGAAGGTTTAAAAGAGTATACAACATTGTTATACTTCTTTTGCTACCTCTCTCCCCTGATTTTTAAATTTTTACCAGTTTTTAAGCCAATTTTATTATAACTTCTATTGAGGTGATGAAATTTTATTTTATTTTATTATTATTATTTTTTGTCTTTACGTGACCGGTAAGGGGATCGCAACCCTTGGGGTGGAGTCGCCCGCACCGCACTCAGCTAGTGAGCGCACTGGCCATTTCTATATAGGATCTGAACCCATGGCAGGAGCGTCGCTGCGCTCCCAGCGCCGCACTCTCCCGAGCNTGACCGGTAAGGGGATCGCAACCCTTGGGGTGGAGTCGCCCGCACCGCACTCAGCTAGTGAGTGCACTGGCCATTTCTATATAGGATCTGAACCCGCGGCAGGAGCGTCGCTGCGCTCCCAGCGCCGCACTCTCCCGAGTGCGCCACGGGGCCGGCCCGAGGTGATGAAATTTTAAAGAAGCCCCTGCTTTTTTTTGGCGGCTGGCAGGAATGGGGATCCTGAACAACACCATGTTATCAACACCATGCTCTAGCTGAGCTAGCCGGCCAGCCCAGAAGCCCCTGCTTTTTAATATGAAAACCAAAGTCTGTTGTGCAACCAAAATTCCATTGGTGGAAGTCCCAGCCTTCGCTTCATGACTAATAGGGTAGGCTCCTTCTGGGTTATATCAGACCTTTCATTGGGAGCATAATCTTCACATCTTTAAATACCTGCAAGTGACTGTCATTTATAGCACAACTTCTGATGTGTGCTTGATTTGGGGGATTATTTTGTGGGTTTGAGAATGCATTAGCTCCAAGAGAAGTTAACCCATTGATGGCTGGGGTGGATTCTGGATGCTTTTTATTCTGCGAACCTCTCATAGCCTAACACTTCCTTTTGCTCTGTTCGACAATTACTTTGGGATGAAATCTTTTATTATATTCACTTAATTTTTTATTCACAAAGTAGTTTGAATATATTCTCACTTTTAGATTCCTGAGAGGTAAGATGATGCAAATGCTATTACTTCTACTTTTTTAGGATAAATGATAGAAAGATGAAAGTGATTTTGTCCAAGTTAGGTACAGAATTGAGATTACAAATCATATTTTGTGAATATGCCAACTGTTTTTTCTTTTTTTCCTTTCCTATTATGCTGCTGTCTTAGACTTATATTCTTTTCTTCCTTTATCTTTTCTTCAAAATATTGCTTTTGAAATACAATTAAAATACAGGTTTGTCTGTATTTAATACGGTAGCTTTAAAATAAGCAAATATTATATATCCACATGACAGATACACATCTCATAGCTTTTTGTTTAAAGCTCTAAATTATTGTACTTAAACTCTTCCTTTCAGCCCGATTACTTCCTTCTCCCTATGTTTGGAGAATAAAATTAGATATAGTTTTTAATAAGATACATTGAAAACTCTATGCAGTTTTATCTTTGAACTCAGTGTCTCTGAACATAATAGTAATAACTTTTTAATGGAGTTCAAAATTAACTTTCTTTGTAATATTATGCATAGCAATGAATCATGTAATAGTGCTCCAATATATTTTGTCCTGGGTCTTACCACTTGGAGGTCTACTATGAGGGCACTATTTTTCAGAAAAATCCATTATTTTCTGTGTGTAGTTACCATTCAAATAGCCTACATCTCTTACATTTGTATTAAGAACCTCATAGAGCTTTAATCTAAAGGAGAATTGTTGCAATTAGATGAATGATTTATTTTTGCTTTTATTATCCTTTATAGGTTTGGCAATTCTCTACCAGTGGACCAATCTTTTCATCCCCATGTACCTCAGCATCAAAGCAAGAAATATTTTTTGGTTCCCATGATTGCTTTATCTACTGTTGTAACATGGAAGGTCACCTCCAATGGAAATTTGAAACTACGTCAAGGGTGTATGCAACACCATTTGCTTTCCATAACCACAGTCATAGCAATGAAATGTTGCTGGCAGCAGCATCTACTGATGGGAAATTGTGGATCTTGGAATCTCAGAGTGGACAATTACAAAGTGTATTTGATCTTCCCGGAGAAGTCTTCTCTTCTCCTGTGGTCTGGGAATCAATGCTAATTAT